TATTGTCTTATCAGCGTCGGCAAACGGATAAAGAATGTTTCATAAAATGCAATAAAAGCCAATTAAAAATCACGAATATTTCCGCGACATTGTTTCTTACGTTTGGCCAAGGCTTTAAGTTTAGCGAAATATTTCATTTGTTCCTTGATCGTGTGAATTGTATGTATATATATTTTTTTATTTCTTCGTCCTAGCTGTTTTATACAGGTGGGTTTTTTACCTTACACAAATTTGTATTGAATTAGGATGTTAATACAAAGTAGAATTAAACGTTAAAACGGTATTTTGAAACAATAACCAATGAATTGAAGTGATTTAGCATAAGAGCAAGCAAAATATACAATGTGTTTTTAACAATATTTAATGTGGGTGTATTTATATACAAGGTTTATCAGTATTCCGTGATTTTATTTTGTTTTTGCGGAAGAAATCGGGGAAACCCCCCCAGTGAGAATCTATTTTTATAGTCTGCGCGTGCGCAGTGCGAGTTTGGCTGAGTTGCGCATGCGTATTTGCTACCAAAATAATGGCGGTTCGAGCATTTCGAAGCGCGAAAATATCAAACTTTGGAGGGATTTTTCTCCCAATTGTGCACCTGTTTCGCTTGGGGAGCAACGGATTCTGATAAAGTAAGTTTTTATCTATTTATTCATGTAAAAATTACGTAGTTACACGAGGGGTGCAACGGAATTGCATCTTTTGGATGCTCATCCTACGGCCTAGAAACATATGAGTGTACTGACACTAATTGTGCTGCCGTTTGTTATAATAGGCGTGGTCCTAGGCGCCATTTTTCTCATAGTATATAACAAGCTCAAACCAATAGAACCACGCGAATTAGAAAACGTACGACGCAACATACTATTAAGTGAATAATGTCTGGAACACTTTTGAACACCTCTGCATACTACTACAGTTGAACCTCTATTACTGTCGTTCCAATTGAAGTGTTGCTCAAATATTGATTCAATACATTACCTCGGACTGACCAATTCATTTCATCAAGTTCCTCGAGATATTCATACACTTCCTGGTATAATTGTAAACTTCCTGTTGAATGCACCAATGTTTGAATGCACCAATCACCTTTGTTGTTTGTGCAACTAACCAATCATAAATAGAAAGGAAGTGACCAGAAATGATCAAATACTTGGAATTGGCTCTTTCACAGGAAGTGTATGAATATCTCGAGGAACTTGATCAAATGAATTGGTCAACCCGAGGTAATGTATTGAATCAATATTTAAGCAACACTTCAATTGGAACGACAGTAAACGGCCACCCTCGGGGATCGGCTTTGTGGCCGCTTAATAGAGGTGGTCGCTAAATAGAGGTACGCAAATAATAGACCTTGGGCGTAGTCAAATGTTTATTTTTAATTATAAATCACAGAATACAATAGTGATTTTATCTTTAATTCTCAGTTTCATCTACTATAACATTTTTTTACAAGCATACATTGTGCCAACAATACGAGGCCATCGCACTATCATATTTCACACTAAACCTTTTGAACAAACATTTAGGGACTATTGTGCCTAAAATTTATTACCAAGACACCAATATGGTTCTCATTACCTATATCTAAACCTAAAAATCCTGCAGGCTGGCCGCCTAATAGAGGTAAAAATTGACATAAAACATCATTTGGGACCGCTCTTTGGGTGGCCGTTTAATAGAGGAATAGTTTATAGTATTTGTATTACAAAAATTTCGGGACTTCGATATGTGACCGTTTAATAGAGGGTGGCCGCTTAATGGAGGGCCGCTTAATAGAGGTTCGACTGTACTACCAATAGTGACAATATACATGAAAAAAATACTTAATACACCCTTTCGTTAATTACGTCACAACTACACTGTTTTCAAAGGGTTTTTTTTCTCATGGGCTATGCACAGAGAAGCAGAGGATCCTTCGCCAACGCACGCGCAAAAAATGTTGGATTTTGGACCAGTAAACATGGAAATAAGCATCAACACAAAGCGAAGCTTCGGGTCATGACCTGGAGCCTCGTTTTCGTTTTAAAGCTTATTTCCACATTTATTGGTCAAAATAAAGAATTCTTTTCCATGCACGTGTTGAAGAAGGATGTTCTGTTTCTCTGCGCATAGCCCATGAGAAAAAAACTTGAAATCCTTTTCATTTAAGGTGGTCCTGAGTCGAAAACAGTGTAGTTGTGATGTAATTATCGAAAGGGTGTATTCTGCTTGCCATTAAGAGTACTGCAATTTTACTGAGAAACAGTGTCACGTGGGAATAGACCTTATGCATGATGACGTCACAAGGCTTGATGCCCGCGAGGAATACTGGTCTTAGTCAGGGTTGGCCTCATAGATATAGGAGATCTAGATTGCTAACGCATACCTAGCGCAGGTGGGGCCTACATGATAAATCCAAGATGGCGGTACAAGAGGGCAAAAAGACTATAGATTCTATTACGAAAATCAGGATTTTTGCATTTTTTGCCGTCGCATTGTTTTGAAACTTATTCGGTCAAATTTTATGGTAA